GTAAATATTGTACGCAATACAACCGGGGCAAAGAATGTACAATTGTCCAAAGTGCTGGATGCTGCGGCTATACTGGAATTCCAGGCGCTGATACGCAGGGTGCCGGTGCCGGATAATGTGCTGGAGTATGCTGTAGGCCTCGTTCATAAAACAAGACCTTCGTCGGACAGGGCGCCCGAAGCAGCCCGGCAATACATTGCTTACGGCGCAGGCCCGCGTGCCTCTCAATACCTTGTGCTGGGCGCTAAATGCCATGCTTTGCTAAACGGTAAATTCTCCCCGGATATAGAAGATGTGCGTGCGATGGCTTTGCCCGTATTGCGTCACCGTGTGGTTCGAAATTATAAGGCCGAAGCAGAAGGGGTGACCCAGGAAAAACTGATCCGTGATTTAATGTAAGACTTCTTGTTTAATGTGGGGATGGTAGCATTGCCGCATCGGTTATGATGCTCACTCCCCACATTAAGCATTATACTATTGCTGTTTGATCAGGTAGACAACGGCAAAGGCAAGTACGGTAAGCAACAGGATCACACAGACCGCAATCCAGGACCATTTCTGATCCATCATGCCCCGCCGCCTGCGGGTTTTCTTTTTTAGGGAACGTTGTAACTGGTTATTCAATTGTACGGTCATTTCCCGGGCCTCCGACAGGTTCAACGTCTGTAAGCCTTCAAGGGCATCCCCTTCCATTCCTTCTGTAGCCAGCCATTCTTCTACTTCCCGCAAGGCATCACCAGACAGGCGGCCTTCCAGGTAGGCCAATAACTGCTCTTCCGGCAAGCCTTTACCCGCAGCAGACATATCGTTCCATATGTTGTTCCCGTCTGTCATTCCGGTTTTTTGTTAGCCAGTTTCTTGAGTAATAAAATTCTAAGGTTACGTTTGCCATTCTGGATATGGCTTTTCACCTGTGCAAAGGTAAAGCCGGTGGCCTCGGTAATGGCCTGGTAACTTTGCCGCTGCAAATAAAACAAAGAAATACAATTCTTTTGTTCCGTGGTCAGTTCATTCAATGCCTGGTTCATTTGTTCCAGGGTATGATCGTGCAGTAGTAGTGCCTCGCGGGCATCTTCCCCGGCGGGTATCTGGTGCAGTACATCATCCGCCGCCAGGTAGGTTTTATCCCGCAGCTGTTGCAGGCAATGGTTCCGCATCAATATATACAGCCAGCCTTTGAAGTTTTGTATCTCTCCCTGTGGCAGGTGTACCAGGGCTTTAAGAAATACCTGTTGTACGGCATCCTGGGCCAGCTCTTTATCTTTCAGGTATTTCATAGCCACGCCAAGCAGCAATAAGGTATAACGCTGTAGCAGGCTGCCGAGCCAGGAATTGTCTCCATGCTGCCGGTAGCCATTTAGTAATTCATCATCACTCAGATTGCTATGTGCCTGTTGTGTTGCCAAAAGGTATGCGCTTGATTGTAAAGATGGGAAAAAGCTAAAAATGCATAAGCAGGCGGGAAAATATATTTAGAAGCTGAAGCGAAGAGAAGTCCCGCCGTTGCCGGCGTCAGGCGTAGCCCACCAGCAACGGCACGCTGCATAAGGTTAACTATGAACCGGTTATGCCCGCTTCGATACCGCTGTTTTTTGTTGCTGCCGGAGTTGCCCGTTATTTTCCCATTTATAGATCCGGGCTGAAAGATCAGCCAATAGCTGGTTATTGACCAGGTAGAGCAGCATCAGCGGGAACATTTTAAACAATCCTCTTTTGGTCGTATTGGCCATGTCCATCAGCGGTAATAAATGCCCGAGTAATGGCAGGCCAAAATAGATGACCGCTACGGCCAGCAGCCAACAGGAAGCAGTGTAACTCAGCCTGCGTTTCCAGACCAGTTCAAGCAGGAGCAATGCACAGAAAATATAAGAGAAATAGCCGTAGACCCTGATGGCTATACTGCCGAATATAAGCATGGTATTCATCGTCCGGAACCGATCCCATAAAGGAAGGAGCTGCATCGCTTTCGGATTTACAAGCCCACCGATATCGTAATGCATGGGCAGGTACTGTTTGTTGTACAGATCATTGGGTATCCAATAGGCAACTAAGGGGGGCAGGCAGAAGCAGCCGATTAACAGCAGTGCCGCCGGCAGCCTGAGTTGTTGCCGGTAAAGCCGCCACAGGATCACCGGAATAAATGCATAGGCAAATATTAAGGTCTCTGCCCGGAAATAGGTGGCAAAACCCATAAAAAGCCCGGCCAGCGCCATGTTCCGGCGTAAAGGAGTCCTGAAATATTCAAAGAGAAAATAACAGCTGAGTGTAAAGAATACCGCATTGGGATAATCAAAGAGGATGATAAATGTATAGGCATACATTTCCGGGATCGCTACAAACAGCAACAGCAACATGCCGGCCAGCAAAGGATGGATCTTCCGGATCATGACCTGATACAGAAACACCGTAAAGCTTACGAACAGGATACTCAGCCATACCTGCCCGAAGGGAAAGCCAGCCATTTTATAAACAATCTGGAGGGATGCAATAGATGGTGGCTTAAACTGGTTGTTATTATTGGTAAGGTCCACACTAAATAC